CCTTATCTTGAATCACCAGCTGTCCAACTGCACCGCGCCGTACGCATCAACTTAGTCCAATCAATTCGACACCAAATCCACTTCCCGTCTCGTGTCTTCGTCGAATCCTTGTCAAACTTCATCCTTGCTAGCCCTCTTTTGGCGTTCATCACTTCTTCGTCCTGGTCATTGTTGATATCTTGCTCTACGACTCTTGTTTGCAACTTTGTACCTCCAATTTCCACTCGCTTATCAACGCATCCGGATGATGCTCGACGCTCGCTTCACCTGCTAGACCTATTCAGCGATATCTTTTCGGGGGCCGGCCTCTAGTTTTATCTCGTTACATCTTCTCGAGGCTCTCGCTATCGTCAAAGTCGAAATATCATCAACTTCGCTCAATTGGGGATCCACCCCGTGTCGCGACGTCACAAACCGTCTCATAACGGTTGAAACAGCTCGTCCAACGCCGATTGCGGTATACTTGCCAAGAAAAACATTCGTGACGACGAAATAAGTTACGCCAACTCATATCTAATTTCCTCCGTCCTTATCGTCGCTGTTGCACCTGTCAGAACTAAACAACCCCAATCTTCTACCCTAATGGGTAAATCATGTCGGTATTCGCCTTCTTGCTTGTAAACTTTTGACTGACAGTTGTGTCCCACACAGCACAATATGGCGTCATTCTTGACGCTGGTTCCTCAGGAACTCGAGTATACATCTACAAGTGGAAGAATCACGCCAAAGCGACCAAGGATGCGTCGGCTGCCGAGCTCAGGTCTCTCCCAAAGATCAAGCTCAAGGAAAACAAGAAGATCCATCCTGGCGTTTCAAGTTTTGCAGAGAAGCCTGCGCAAATCGGTCCCGATCATCTGCAGCAACTGATCGATATCGCTCTCGACGAAGTCCCCGACAGCAAGATTCCCGAAACCCCCGTTTACCTCATGGCAACGGCAGGCATGCGATTGCTACCAAAGCCTCAGCAGTCGGCACTCCTCAAATCAATGTGCACCTACTTGCAGTCGAATACGAATTTCATTCTTCCGGATTGTGATGCCCATATTCAGGTTATCTCTGGCGAAACCGAGGGTCTGTACGGCTGGATAGCGGCGAATTATTTGCTGGGCGGTTTCGATCACCCTGAGGAGCACGACCATGGCAAGAATCATCACACTTACGGCTTCCTCGATATGGGTGGCGCATCTGCTCAGATTGCCTTTGCTCCAAATGCAACTGAATCCGCAAAGCACGCAGATGATCTGAAGATTGTGCGCATGCGAACACTCGACGGATCACCATCCGAATACAAAGTCTTTACTGCAACCTGGCTCGGGTTCGGTGCCAATCAAGCCCGCAGCCGTTATATCGAACGTCTACAAGAACACTACAATACTGACTCTACCCACGAGCTGCCTGATCCCTGCATGCCTAATGGCTTGCGAACTACCCTAGGCGGTGAACTTGTTGAGTCAAAGTCAGATAAGACAGTTTTGGTTGGCACAGGAAAGTTCGACGAATGTTTGACGGTAACCTATCCTCTACTGGGCAAAGACAAGCCCTGCGAAGACCAGCCCTGCCTTGTCAACGGCCAGCACGTACCCGGTATCGACTTCGATATCAATCACTTCGTTGGTGTTTCGGAATATTGGCATACAACTCATGGTGTCTTTGGCGGAAAACACAAGGCTTACGATCTGGCGACATATCAAAACAATGTCATGGAATTCTGCAGTCGCGATTGGTCAGACATTGAGGGAGATCTTGACAAACGCAAGAAATCACCGGAAAAGAAGGCAGCCGAGGCCCGTTTAGCTTGTTTCAAGGCATCATGGCTGATTAATATGCTCTATGACGGAATTGGCATCCCTCGTGTTGGTCTCGAAGGTAGTGCATCCAACGACACTATTAAGGACGATGGTGAGAAGTCATTTAACGACCCTTTCAGGCCGGTGGACACAATCGATGGCATCGAGTTAAGCTGGACTTTGGGCAAAATGGTCCTATACGCTGCCGGACAAGTTCCTCCCTCCGGTTCCGAGCTGCCTGTCGGCTTTGGAAGCAATGTGGACAAGGGGATAGCGAAGGACTTTGAGCACGCTGGCTCTTCACCTATCGCTCCCCACACAGGCAACGACGACGATGATGATGACCTGGAAGATCTTCTGAAAAAGCCTGGAAAGTCAACCGGTGGGCTCGTCGCATTTGTTCTGATAATTCTGTTAGTCGCCTATTTGCTCCGCAAGCCTGAGCGAAGAAGAAAGATATTCAGCATGCTTAGCCGGCGAAAGCGATCAGGGAAACCAGGCCGAGGCTCCTCTCTTGTCCAAAAACTCTTCGGACGAAACTTGGGGCCATCTTATGAGAGAGTAATGGAGGAGGGTGACTTCTCTGATTTCGAATTGGGCGATGTCGATTCGGATGAACACGACCATTCGGATAGCAGTAGTAGTGGTTCGCGAAAGGGACGAGCATCGGGTCTAGCGACACCTAGCATCTCTGCAGGCCGTGCGGACGAACTCACCCGCCCTCCGTCAGCAATGGATCGTGCCGGACTTGTAGTGCGGACTGAAAGTCGAGAACGGCTCTCGCCCTCACTGTTGAGTGCTGGCCGAAAGAGCCGCAACGGTAGCCCAACTCGTGCGAAGAGTCCATTCATGTCGCCTGTACGGGAAGATTGAGCGATTCGATATGATTCATGGGAACACATTAATGCGAAGTTTATTTTCATCTGGTATTTTTTTTTCCCGGGGGCAGCATAATGGCGTTAGCGAGTTTGTTGGAACTGGAGGAGCATTTAAAGACATGGCGTTCAAAAGAACGCATATACCATAAAACAGAGTCGTGATAGTTATTAGTCTGTTGGTTGAGTTTGGCGACGAAATTGGAGTCTCTCTTGGATATCACACAGTTACGATATTGGTTTGGAGCTTCTGGGAGTGTTTCGAAGCGATGTTGTTCTCGGTAGGGGCGTACGCTCAGTTGTGCGAATTGGTATTCAATTAATTAATCTTGTCAGTCACTCAAAGCAGGGGCTCTTGTCTGTTATGATCCCCGCCCTGATACCATACCAGCCAGACACGCCTTTTAGCCGTTGAACATATTCCCTACCCGAATGTTATGCACTTTGAGGCTTCGATCAGGCATTTCCAGAGGCTTATAAGCCAACACTAATCTGATTGCTTCTCCAGGAAACTAGGATCTGCCCGAACTCTCGATTCAAACTTGCGCCACCAGTTTTCAAAGGCTTTGAGCGGCACAACCTCAACACCACCAGGTCCTGCTGTACCGCTAAAACTTGATAGAAAGTTAAATGCGTTCTGGATGATGCGTTGTGCGAGTATAGCCGTACTGGGCTGGCCGCCTGATGGGTTGCCAGACTTAGCGGCAGCGAGCTCTTGTAAGCGCTGGCCAACAGACTCTTCTGGCTCCACTGATACACCAATCACCAAATCGCCGGCCTCTCCTCCACCGCTGATCTTGAACATGGCGCTCTCCTTTCCAGGACCTATACCTCCAAGGAAGCGAAAGTTGGGTGTGCCGCCTGACTGAGCTGCTGCCGCGACATCGGCGGCAGTTGCTAGGTAGATTGCTGCTGCAGTGTTCGGCGGGAGACTTATGCCTGGTAGCATAAAGACAACAATATGTGAGAAGTGTTTTGTGGTGGGGAGAGCGTAGAGTAGTGAGGTTGGCGAGGGGGTTGAAGAAGGCTCTGTGATGAGTGGTTGACCCGCAGGGACGATGCCAAAGAGTGGGCTTGACATGATGATACTGATATCAAGATGCGTAAGATATAGTCAATCGCAAGATCGATCGATCATGTGGTAAAGGAATATTTGATTCTAACCAGGGATGGGAGCGGAAGGCTGTATGCAGTGAGTTCTTTGTATAAGTTCGCTTTCGTTGTTTCGCTGGCTGCTAACGGAGTAGTCTAGTGTGGAATGATTGGTGGGTGTTTCGAGGATAATCTAGAAACAAGTGGAATCTTGGTGAGTACGGAGTACGTAGCAATGGATCTGTTCAGCAGTGACCTCAAGGGTTCCCTACAAAGGGGTGCTTTAGGGTAGGGGACAGGAGATTGCATGCCAAGTTGACCCTTGATGTTTCAACATAGGTACCTTAGTAGGTAGGGTGACGGAAACATTGAGAAGTCGGCTATACCGTACTATACGAGACTGAAGGTTATCGGGGAATGTGTCCTTAATCTTCTGCAGCACTTGGAAGTGTATCTACTATGTAGAGCCAAAATTCTGGGCTTACTTGGTCTCACGGAGCAGCGTGGGGCTACCAACATGTCACAAGTATCTCGTCGCTGATCTGGTAAAAGCAGAGCCACCTTAGTACCTGCCTTACCCTACTTCCTGATGTAGCTTCACCGAGAAGTCTAGACAGACAGACAACAGCCGGAGCTCCATATCATATCCATCTAATCACCCCCGAAGAGCATACAGTACATTTCGAGGGCAGGGACTTGCTCTACCGATCTCGCATATAAGCATATAAGCCATCGTTGGGAAAAGCCCTCAACTGCGCCAACCTTCCACTGCCAAACAGTCGGTACCTTGGTTAGTCAACATTGACTTCATCATCTACCTCAGGTATTTATTTATTTGATCATATACGATATCAGATCAGCTACGAACCAAGGACACCCCACCAACACAATAATCCAAGCATCCGTCCTTCCTTGCTTCAAGATGGCCAAAACAAACATCGATCTCATTGACGAAGTCGACATGTACGGTTCAAAATCCCTACCATTCTCATACAAGTGTAACTCATCTCTCAAGGTTCCCGTATGCCGAGACTGATCCCGATGCTTTCACCAAAATGAATGCCGGGCTCTATACTCTGGTATGGAGAGATAGCAAAGGCACATACCCTGTTGGGTACATCCTAGACCGTGTGGCCAGAGAGCTACACCAGGTTCCTGAAGAGGTCAGGGGAGAGATGGAATGCGATGACGAGAAGAAAACTATTGTGCTCTTTCAGGAACCTACAGAGGAACAACGTACTCGTCGCGCGGCGACCCTGGCCGACTATTGGCGGAAGAATGGGACATTCCCTCTTCTACGTCGCTGGCGCGACGAACTCTGGCCTGTATACGGACGAAGTGGCGAGCTATTGTTCAGCATGGAACGAGCTGCAATAGGCTTGCTTGGTACGGTGCGTTACGGCGTTCACATGATCGCGTATGTCAAGGACGAGACTGCACCTCACGGCATTCGCCTCTGGGTCCCTACGCGTGCTCGGGACAAGGCAACCTTTCCCGGCATGCTTGATAATACCGTGGCAGGTGGTTTGATGACAGGAGAGGACCCCTTCGAATGCGTCATTCGCGAGGCTGACGAGGAAGCCAGTCTTCCCGATGATATCGTTCGCAAGGGTGCCAAGTTTGTCGGCAATGTCGCATACATCTACATCACGGACGAGGGACAGGTTGGCGAAGGCGGCTTCATTTATCCTGAGTGCCAGTGGTTATACGATCTCGAGCTTCCCAGCGATGTAATTCCTCAACCCAAAGATGGTGAGGCGGAGAAATTTGACCTCTGTGACGTTAATCAAGTCAAGGCGGATCTCGCCGAGGGTCGATTCAAGTCCAACTGTGCCCTCGTCACCCTCGACTTTTTCATTCGTCATGGAATTCTTACTGACGGAAACGAGCCCGAGATTGAGCAGATCAAGCGGAGAGTGCGCCGCGACATTCCTTTCCCAGGTCCGCATCAAAGCAATTGGCGCTCATTGTGATTCTGATAGACCAGGCTCACAGAGGCGAGATAGATAGTCTTCGACTTTGAGAATCATTGGGGGCAACACGGCGGTTTTCGCATGGGTATCATTAATGTGACCTAGAGCTAGTGGTAACACAAAAGCCCATAGTGGTGGCGAAGAGCTATAGTCTAGATAAATGGACAAGTTTAGGCGCTTCTGATCATTTCTTGACGAGTAGGTAGACGTTGTCGACACGGAGAGGGGTCAGTTTTTTGATAGGGCCTTGAAGCGACATAAGAAGACCGCCGAAAGAGCAGTAGGCATTGCTATACGTTAGATTCAGTCAGCAAACTTGGGTGTTCCAGACTCGGTGACAAGGGGGCTTCATGTAAGAGACGCACATGGTATTTCCATCGAATGTCTCCTCGAACTTATAGATCTTTCCATGGCACACGTAGTCATAAAGGTCGGCGGCTGTCGCTGGCGCATCACCACCTTTGCCAACGTCTCGCCAGCCCTTCTCGTCCTCCTTGCTTCCATCCAGGGAGAGGGTAGTAGACAGAACTACGTGCAGGGTGTCTGAAACAGCACAGGGGAACAGCTCGATGTTGATATCTAGAGTCATAACAGTCTGAGAGTCGCTTGAAGTGCACGAAATGCGGGCGACACGGTCATACTTGGACTGATCATACTCAGTCACAGTGAATGATTCTTCGAACAGAGTAGCGTCGCCGCTCGCCATGTTGGGAAGTCGAGAAGAAGGAAGAAGAACGGATGGAATATATTGAGGGAGGAAGAGGGAGGGCTTCGTATCGTTATGATTTTCGCGTTGTCGTTAGTTTGCATCAAAGAAGAGAAAATGTTTGGATGCGGCTCGGAAAAAGTTGGTGGATACTTGGGTACCTCAGCTTGTAGGTGGGGCACACAACACCTACGACCTCAGGTACGGATACTTACCTACCTCTGGTATCACACACTCTCCCGTCTCTACCTACTAACCTACTAGGGTACAGCAGGCACTTGCATTTAACATCTTGGATGATTGTCCATTTGTTAAAAAGCGGAGAAAGAAAAAGTATCACTCAGCAACTCGCACATGAAAGACAATGACAATGTCTTTTCGCAAGCGCAATATCGTCATTGGAGCTGCCGGGTCTTCATCTCCCATCATTCGACAAGAGAAGTCTCTTGCACCCGGAACCAGACCATCTCCGTTAGATGGACGCTTGACTACCTCTACAGGCACGCAGTCTTTGGATCAGCTCTTGTCAGGCCATGCTGGAATGCCAATGGGAACTTCCTTGCTCGTTGAAGAAACAGGAACCACGGACTTTGGAGGAGTACTGTTACGATACTATGCCGCCGAAGGACTTGCCCAAGGACATCAAGTTCACCTCTTGGGGTTTGGTGATGCTTGGAGAAGAGAGCTTCCTGGTCTCGGCAGTCCTGATGGCTCTAAGAAGAGCAGCAGGCCAACCTCATCATCAGATGAAAAGATGAAGATTGCTTGGCGCTACGAGACACTCGGACAGCGCAACGTGCCAGTGAGAGGTATGCTCTGTGCGCTTCCTCCAAGGACGTTATGCTGACCTGCGACTTATTGTAGATGCCCAAGCACCAACAACTCCCGGACAGACACCGAGCACGTTCTGTCATGGCTTCGACCTGACCAAGCGTCTTGAAAACAGCGCCATCAAGGGTCAGCTGCACACAACCCCAGTGGAAGGTCCCATGGCATCTCCAACAAACACGCCGTTCCGCAAGTTCATTGCCAATGTAACCTCCCAAATCAAGAACTCGCCACATTCTACAGTTCATCGGATCGTGGTACCCAGCCTCCTCTCGCCTACACTGTATAATTCTGCTGCCAGTCAACCCAAAGAGGTCCTCAAGTTCCTCCATGCTTTGAGAGCACTCCTCCGACAACACTCCACCCAGCTTACGGCATTTGTGACTGTTCCAGTCACTTTGTTCCCCCGATCTACCGGACTAACGAGGTGGATGGAGTTACTATCCGATGGAGTTCTCGAATTGATTCCTCTGCAACACCAAGCTCAGGTCGTGCGGGAGCCTGGCAACGAAGACAAGGGTCAAGGGCTACTACGCGCCCATAGCTTACCTGTGTTCCACGAAAAGGGCGGTGGTCTGGAAGGTACCTGGAACAGGGAAAACCTATCTTTCAAGCTGAGCAGTTCCAGTGGGTTGGTCATTACACCCTTTAGTCTACCACCGATTGGAGACGAGGAAGAACCAAATAAAGCCTCCAAACCCAACGATCACAAGAAGGAGACTTTGGATTTTTGATGAGGAGGCAATTCAACGATCGACCTGGTTTATTATCCTGCCTTTGAGTCTCATGCTCAGGAGCCTTATCTTATCTCTCCCCCACCCCACTCGCCTAAAATTTTTATCACCTAAAAGCAGCTTCAAGCTCTTAACCTCTCTTCTCTTCTCTTCTTTCTTTCTTCTGATCAGCATCATCAATCTCAAAAGGTACGTCCAAATCAATCTTTTTCTCTCGCAATTCATCCACACGACTCGGACACAATGATTATACACTTATTAATCTGTCAATCCCCTGATTTTCTGTGACGACACACAATAAAATTACGAAGACGACTTATGATGTTGTCCTTTTCACACTTGATTATGCTCGCTATACTCCCAACGACACGCGCGCTAACTCCCAACGCTTCCACAGATATTATGGCCTCTTTCGACCTAGTCCCTGTTCGGATATCCAAGATCGCTGGAAGATATCTCATCTTCGATTCTGAAGCGGCTACGTTCCTGCGTCGGAATGAGAATATCAACGGTACTCTAGTCGGAACGGCGCCTCAGCAACCGACCCAGAACATCTTTCTCGGCCTTCCGATTGAACTCCGGCCTGAGGAGGCTGAAGCGTTATTGCATAAGAATGTGGCTTATCTTGTAGACGACGTAGCTGCCCACTACCATGTTCTCCAGAATCACAACGCCGAGGCGAGGAGGTTATACCTCGACTCACTTAGAACAAGAAAGCAGACAGCACAACAGGTTATTGCTGAGAAGAATGCCAAGAGGGTTTCTGAAGGAGCATTGAAGCGAGGGAAATCCCGCCGTGTGCCTTCTAGCATTCCCGACGACAGCATCACCACTAGTGAAACTAAACCCGCCGTACATCAGCAGGAATCGGCCATTAAGCCCCTGGGCGTCACCCCAACGTCCAGTGGGTCGCTGATTTCTTCAGAAGCTGAACGGACATACCAGGCCACTGACCCCACTCAAGGCCCTTTGTGCGGCTTTCTGCTTACTTCTGGTCACTACACAACTCCAGGCCTTCGCTTTGGTGCCAAGTATAGTGTTTACCCAGGCGACCCCTTGAGGTTTCACGCCCATTTCATGGCAAACCAGTATGAATGGGAAGAAGATATTCCCATATTGGACATCGTAGCAGGAGGTCGCCTCGCAACAGCTGTGAAGAAGGCGTATCTAATAGGGGCAGAGCAGCCCCTAGCGAATGTATCACGGGATGACCAACTGATGAGAACCTTTAGTATCGAATGGGCTGCAATGTAAGAGCTTTGAATATAATAGATGCTTTGCCGAACATAACCTGACAAGATGATTTGAGTTAAAAGATGAAAGTCCTTAACCATTGTGAATTCATGCCCATCCGCTCCCGAAATTGAAACAACGCAAATGAGTAGAACAAAGGCCGTAAGTACTTAATCACAGCAAAAGAAAAGAAAAATTACCGATTCCGTTAATTGTGAGTTAGCAGGAGCTCAGGGGACGAAAACGCGGCTGAAGCTAATAACCTCCCGGCGGCAACAAACGCATTTGTCAAAGTTGTTCATAGCAAGAGAAACGCGGCAGTCATCGCATAGACTCAGGCATCGACAGGGCCAGACAATAATGGTTCTGGGTGAACTTTGACACACCACACATTGCGGACCATCGCTTCCAAAACCTGATCCCCCGTTTTCCCATGATGTCTCGGAACATGCCACAGATGCAAACGCTTGCCGCCGTGATAACAAAAGCTGTTCCAAAAGACGCTCCTCTTCGTCAGGATCTAATTTGGTGCTGCGCCCCGGTTGCATGATGTTAGCTTTGGGCTGTAGTAGGCCAGATCCCGGGGAGGCCAAGACTCGAGTGCGTTGCAATTGCTCCATTCGCCGATATTTGGCGCGTGTCATGATCCCATCGCTTTGGAGGTGAGCAGACAAAGTTAGGGCCTCCTCACGCTCTTCAGGGCTTGTGGGATGCAGAAGGCGTGCTAGATCGGATAGTTGCATAGGTGTGTCATGGAAAGGCGTGCTCTCACGACTAATTTGAGGGTATCGTTGAGTAGGTGTTCGTTGGCCGTCGTCATTCTCGTCTTCTGACCCCCATACTTGGTAGTCATCCACTCCATCGCCGGTGGTCGACATAGAGACGACGCTTGTAGTGTCGAAGTCGTCATCTGAGTGAGGTTCAAAGTCGCCGCTGGAATCTGCGGATCCCCACCAGCCATTTTTCACCCAATATTTGTATAGGTCCCTGTCTAGGCTCTCCTCGTCTTGGTCTATGCATACACGCCTGAACTCGGCCTCGATGTCTGCCGTCTCCTCTTTCGGTATGCTTCCATCATTATATGAAGATGGTCCTCTTGGTCGTGGCTGTTTACGACTAGAGCTTTTGCTCTGGCCGTCCATGCTTTTTGGGTGCTGGGCAAGCCAAAGAAGCCATGCCGGCTGATATCGGATCCGTAGAGTCGCAAGACACCATAACAAAGACTTGGCGCTAATTCTTGCAAGAAGTTTGTTGATACTGAGTAGAAACTCCAGTGCCATAAGCCAGCGAGAACTCCTTTCAGACGCGCCAATGCCTGCATGAAGGTTGCGCTCACTACGTCCTTTCGGTATCTTCTGAGCAGCACGTTCGCGCGCGTACCCATTGGATGCAATTGACGGGCCCCCTTTCACGGGAATTAGGCCGATGGCACCGATCTGGTCATATCGCGAGTCGGGCAGGCCGCCGCCACCACCAATTAGTTTTCTTTGCAATTCCTCGGCCTCCTTAAACCGCTGCTCTTCCAGCCAGGTGCGTCGTTTTAAACTGATGCCTTTGTCCTCATTTAGGTAGACGGCTTCACTAGCCATAGTGATAGCGCCGAACCCAGTTCGCAGTAGAGCCGTGTAGAAGTCCATTTCTCGAGTGATGCGAATGGAAGAGAGCGATAAGTTCGCCTGCATGTTTTCATGGGCATGGATTAGACGCTGACGAATGGTCATTGAAGCCATGTCTGATGTCGAAGGGGGAGAGAATGCTGAGAGGAGCAAAGCAAGCCCGTATATGAACAAGCATATAGTGATGCCTAGTAGAACAAGGACATGTGGCACAAACCCTATGATGCAAACAGTTGGAAATCTGAGTAGACTCTGAGAGGATGGATTGTCAAGGTCAAAGGAGATGGCTGCCCATACAATGCTAGCCATAAAGCAGAGACCCCAGAATCCCGTACTGATAAGTCGGTACCTAGCTTGCAGATTGAAGATGCCGAGGATATGGCTCGTGATATGCGTCATCGAAGATAGCAAGGCAACGAGGAGGACTTCGGGCGAGGTGTTGACCCTTCTCATAACCATTGACCTAGTCAGAGCTATAGCATTTCCAAGCCCTGAGGCTGGGGCATCAGCAGAAGTTGTTTTAGTGAAAAGGTTCCAACCAAGCTGGTTACTGATAGCGGCATCGGCCTCTGCAAACGCAAGAGATTGTTCGAATAGTGTCATCCCTGTCTCCGGTGCGACGGGACGGCCCTGCACGGCACAGGAAACGGTCTCAAGGAACTGGCTAAGACAAAATGTTCCGAACAAAGGCCATAGCATGGACAAGGAGCCGGTCAGATTACGAGCAGAACCAGGTTCATCCGAAGGTATCATCCGAACGGCAATACAGGACTGTTCATCGGAGGCCGAGAAGAGTAAAATTGAACTCAAGGAATTAAAAAAGGCGTTTTGGTGTGAGAACATCAAGTCTGAGCTTTTGCTTGCATTACCCCATCGTAGCTCGGAAAAGTCGGATGAGGTCTGGCACTGAATAGATTGAAGTAACTGGCGCGCCTGTACTACCAATAGGATGATGGGAACGAATCGTAATAAGAGTCTTGTTGGCCATCGCAAGCGTAGGCGTCGTCGAGTGGCAGCGAATATGTGTGTCCTGTTGAGTATGACTGCCATAGCTATGCAACACAAAGCCCACTTGCTGGTGGCATACCCAAAGACACTGCCCAAGCTACGGACACTGTCAACGGGTACTCGTCCCATGGGAGCAGTGGCCGCTGTCTCAGACCCCCCCGTACCTAACAAGGGCTCCATTCTGTTTTGAATATTCGGGTCGGCCTCAGCAAGTATGGTGTTCGCGCCAACTACTTCTGGTATGTAATTCGAATTGCCGGTCGTCGTCTCGAGATGCTCGGGCACAGAAATGTAAGATCCAAGCTTCTTAACGAATCGTGGACCGGCCCAGACAAGGTCCTCTAGTATGGGCGCATAGCGTGTCACATTGACAGTCCAGACAGCAGGATTGTACCACGGACCAGATGCATTGGCAGAACTGAGCCCTGTGTTGGTTGTGAGGCTGGTGAGGGGTGATGGCGCAGAGGGGACGAACTCGTCGGCCATGGCCTAAGAGAAAACTATCGGGCACGAAGTTGTCGGAAGCGGATGGAAGGCAAGTTAAGAGAAATGAAGGCTGCGAAATAAACGTGACGATCGCAGGAGCGTTATTTTGATAACGAGCCACTGGGTTTCGCCGAGGACATTGTGAAGTGTCCTTGTTTGAAGCGTGGTTTGTTGGCCTAGGGAAGCGATGATGAGGCGAGGCACTGAGCAACCTCAGTGTTGACATGGAGGTGGAGGTGGTAACATGCGGAAACTACCTGTATCGACTATCGATATACCTACCTTCCATTACCTGCTAGGTAGGTCGAGACAACCTTAAGCCCAGACTGAGTTGGACTCACGGATACTAGCGCATCCTCTGGGGCCCACTGCAGCGGCCAAGCAGCTATTGGAGTGCTTGTACAGTCATGCACAGTGTTGTTAAAGGACATGATGTACCCACCTCAGGTCCCCTGCAATGCTTGCATCCACCCACGGGAAGTGGTCCCGATTTCGGCGCCAGACCAGTAGTTAGTAAGGTAGGAAGGCAGGCAGGTAGTGGAGCTCTCTTGAGTTTCAAATGGCGTCCTTTAGGGTAACTACTTACGAAGGTACGCTCAATTCTACTAGTAGGACATGATACTAAAGCTGGCATACCATTATCTTGTACTTTCATGTCCACCCACGGGATTAAAAGGGTTTCTCAACGCCGCCTGACATTGCCCCGAAAGAGCTGGACATCCTGCTGGGTCTAGCGTTTCTATCAAGCAACGATCCCCAAGTTATTCAGCGGGTTTGGAGCCTGAGAGGTATCTTCTTATTAGTTAAGTGTGCTTGACTCCTCTTGATGTCTGAACATCCTTAATAGTTTGTCTACCTCCTTCCATTTGACTTCATTCTCAATCATATGTTATGATACTTCAAAGAAGATCAATATTATTCTTCATCCAAAAGCTGTGTCCTACGAAACCATTCGAGCCAGGGCTTATCCAGAGTGGCCAAGAACGCCCATGACACACCCACATAAGGTGAAGGAACTCAGTGGGATTGCTTTAATCGAAGCACAAAGAACTTAAGAAGCTGGCCTTTGCAGTCGACAGAGCCTTTGATGATGTGATTGATTGAATGCTTAAAAACGCCCATGAAGTTGTGGAATATGCTGACCTACTATCCAATCAACCCGCGATGACTGATTCTTTGAGTGATGCAGCTACTGCAAGGTTGGCTCCTTTGCTTGCATGTACGGCACGGGCGACAAGGTCGCGATGCAGACTGGCATCTGATGAAGGCAAGCTTCCCTTCAGCCAGAGATTTGTGATTTCGTCCCGGGAGGGAAGATAGGCCACACAGCAAGCTGCGAGTATTTGCGAGTGTTCCGAAGGAACTGGATCGAGCACCATGATGGGTTCATCATTGTCCACCCCAGGCACCAAAGCCGCAACACCTCCAGAGACAGTATCGACACAGTCAATACCAGCATCCGCGAGAGCGGCGGCGGCAACAGTGATGCAGCCGCTAAGCACGTTCATCATATCCCATTCCTCGCTTCCATGTTCCACAGCTACCTGGCGGGCTTGGTCTCCTTCAATAATGGTAACAACCACATCCACTCCACTCTTGGGCCAACGGTCTGCAATGAGTGCGCCCCTGAGAGCTGCTTCAAGATGGGTGCTTAAGTCACGCTCGGTAGAATCGCGTAAATAACCCCTTCTTTGACGTGTTGCAAAAGGTGCGTATTTGATATGTGTAGAGAGGACCATGTGAGGGGAGAAGGGCGCTGATCGAGGTAGAGACCTAGGCCCATGAACAGTGCATGAAAGTTTCATGCCCTTACTGCTAGAATCTTGCCGTGATTCAATTTCTAGGTACGCCGATCCAGAGGCGGATGGGGTTACCCCAGTCTGCAAATCTAACCAAATGATATCAGTCAAC